AACAGGCGAATTGTGTCTTTTCGTTCACATTAAGTCAGAAAAAAACAACATATGAATCAAAATTAACATGTATTTATACTAAAGTGATACAAAAATGACGACAAAAGATTTAGAAGTGAATAGATGGAAACATCACAGCCAGTTATGACTTCAACTGGTTGATGACGTCCTTCCAATGATTACCGTGTTCGTGAGCATAAGGCAGATTTGAAACACGGGAGGACCACCACTTCAGCCGTGGCTGATCATTGTTTTTATGCAGTTGGCTCACACGAAATAGATTTCTTTGAGACGAAGGTACTTTGCAAGCCCACTGGCTATCAACAAAGATTTGTTCATGAAGCCATCCAGATATAGACACAGACACAATTTAAACCGAGATGATGGGTACAAACTCAGCAATCATTGGAAGGACGTCATCAACCAGTTTAAGTCATAACTGGTTGTGATGTTTCCATCTTGTCACCTTCCAATGTTAGTTTTATTTTACTTAAGATGGGACAAGCAATTCCAGTCCTTGCGGTGTTGCCCCTGCGTTGGCCGTCCCACAAGTTGTTAATTTCTCCACGGCTCGTGCGTCTACCCTTTCCTTGCTCTCCGATCTCACATTGACGAAACCATCTCCGCTTGTGCTGGCCCCAGGGAACTTGTACCCCGCCCACTTCTTTCTGATACCAGAGATTTAATCTCTTACACATTAATCATAGGTGAAATAAATGTATTTTTTGTAGGATGGTACAGAGGGGAAAAGAGAGCCATGAAGTTCGCTATCCCAAGAATTTGGCGGGAACCCACTGACCACTCAAGCAACTGCTACTTCTGCATGGTGACCCTTCCAAACGTCGTACTGCCAAGAATGCACCTGCTATCACGTATCCGGACCTTCCTTCATCCATCGCCCCGGTGCCACATTGCCATGAGCTCCCCGTACCCACTCCTCCGGAGAGAGAGAGCAGCCGTCTTTAGAAAGAGCAACAAGTCAGAGAGCGAGGTAGGCGTCGTAGATCCAGATGACAATTTCAGAGAAACCCATACTACCCCAACCAAAAAACCTCAACGACTTGATCAGAGATCTTGGTCTCATCAGTCCAATGCCGAGCTTTTGGCATCGAGGCTCAAGCAGTGGAACTTGTTGGATGAAAGTGTGCAAGTCGCAGATCAGAGGAAGCGTCACCAACCTTTTTGCAGCTTCTTCGCCCGTCAAGATGGGCTCTGCTTCTGTCACAATGTGACCAGTCTGTTCGAGGCAATCGGAATCGCCTGTAACCAGAATGAGTGGCGCCTCTTCATTGACAGCCCATCCAGGAGCCTCAAAGCCGTGCTGCTCCATTATGGTAACAATTACCCGTCTCTTTCCCTGGCTCACTCGGTGCACCTCAAAGAGGATTACAACAGCATCAAGACCTTGCTGGATGCCTTGAAGTATGATGAGCACGGTTGGGAGGTCATCGGAGACATAAAATTGGTGGCATTCCTGATAGGTCTCCAAGGCTGTGTTATCCAGTTTCCCTGCTATCTTTGCCTTTGGGACAGCAGGGACACCAAGGGGCACTACCACAGGCGGGACTGGCCACAGCGGACCGAGTTCTCTGTGGGGAGGAACAACGTCAAGTGGGAGCCACTGGTGGACCTCCGGAAGGTGCTGATGCCACCAGTGCACATCAAATTGGGCCTTATGAAACAATTTGTCAGAGCTGTAGATAAGGAGTCGGCAGCCTTCAAGTACCTTCAAGACTTCTTCCCGAAGCTGTCTGAGGCAAAGGTCAAAAGCCGGTTGTCTTCGTCGTACCACAGATAAAGAAGTATCCTGGAGTGCAATTAATTCCCCAAGAAGCTCACTAGCAAGGAGAAAGCGGGTGGAACAGCTTGTCTTGTCGCAGCGGTTCGTGGCTCCTGGGCAATCACAAGGCGAAAACTATGTGGAGCTGCAGGCGAGCGCTTTCCACCAGGATATACTTGACTTTGAATGCTGCTACCAAGAACAGTATAACGAGAACATGATGGGACACTACCATTGGGGCGGATTCGTGAAAGGATTTACAGTATAATACGTAAATCTCGAAAATTTACTCCCTTCTAAATATTTTCTAGTCATTTTTGTATTATTTTAGTATAAATACATAATTTATTATCGTATGTTGTTTTTTGTGACTTTATGTTAACGACAAGACACACATTTGCCCACTTTATCATTGAAAATAGATACATTCAAAATATCACTGTGCTGGTCACAAGCAAAGTTTGTGGGGAATAATAGCTATTTTCTATACTTTTTAGCCATAAGCAATTAGGAAATAACACTGACTACTCAGGAACAAAATTGTGTTACATAGTGTTATGAGTCCAAACAGAGAACTAGTCTTTCAGCTCCTCTGGTGGGCTTCCTGGTTGAATACCACGTGTTTAGTCCAGCATGACATCTCACGTTTTGCTCCATGTTGTTAGGGGAGCTTCTTCAGGAGTCTTCTCTTAAGTTGATTTCCAATCAGACCCAAGGAGCAGCATATTCTAGACCAGTGGTTCTTAACCTTTACTGCAGCCTTGCACTCCTTTGGTTCTCAATCATAAAACAATTATAATGTTCATAAATAAATAACATAGGTTTGATGACACAAAGTAGTTGTACTTAGGTGCCCGTGCTTAATGTGTTTTCGAATATTTAACCTCTAAAAAAATCTGGCCATGTCTCGCACCCCCAGAAAGGACATCTGGCACCCCCAGGGGGTGCGTGCACCCCAGGTTAAGAACCACTGTTCTCGACACAACCTGTGTGCAGTTATTCTCGTATTGGCCATCACTGCCGCCCCCCCCCCACGTGCGCTACCATTAACCGTTGGTCGTCATCACCGCCCCCCTCCCCCCCTTGCAGCGTGGACTGCGTCGGCATCTTAAAGCTGCGCAATGCAGACGTGGAGGCTCGCATCGGTCCCGTGCGCTCCAAGAAGAAAAGCACGCGCGTGCGCCTCGTGTTCCGCGTCACCATCCCGCGGCCCGATGGGCCGGCCCTCACCCTGCAGGCCTGCTCCACGCCCATCCTGTGCAGTGAGTGCCGACGCCGCACCCGACCGACCATACTCGGTGGCAAAATGTTACGTCCCACGCCTGATCTACAGGAGGTAGTGGGTTTGATTCCAACCCTCACACCTGCTGTATATTTTAAGTTTGCATGTGTCTCTCTCTTTCTGTGGCCGGGTGGATTTTTCTCCAGTTTTTCCCTCCACATTTAGAAACATGCATTTTAAAGTATTTGACTGCAATACATTTCCACGTGATAAACCACTGAGTTGAGCTGCTGTCATCTGTGGCCAGGTTGCTTCTGAAAAGAGCTATAAAGCTCAGTGGGCCTTACCTGGTAAAAGAAAAAGTTTGTAGTTTTATAGTTTATACTTCACCTCAGTTTTACGAGGTAGTTGTGGGACAGTATTAGTGGGCAGTGCAGTTTCTTGGGTGCCCATTGTTTATTGTTATTACTACACTTGTTTACCAAGGAAGATATTAACCGGTTTGTAACCCAGTCCCTCCTTCACAAACCCACACTGACCAGCACGGTGAAGTATGGTCAAAACAACCCATTGACCAACATGGGGAGGCCTTCATCCAGCAGTGTAATGAAAAAGAGATGGCCGTTACATACAAAGTTATTAATGTACAAATTGATTATACCTCGCAATTTCTGCTTAAATGTGAGAAGTGGCTCTGTTAAACTCTACAGAAAATACGAACGCTGCATTTCTATATTAAACTTGTGCCGTGGATGCCGTATATGTGGCATAGGCACCCTGGCCTTCTGAGGGTGCATGTGTCCACCCTTGTGATGAGCAGTAATTAAAATGTTCTGTTCTTAAGTGGACCCAGGGTGTGTGATTATTTTGTTCATGTCAATTTGCCATGTATAGCGTTCTGGGGGATTCAAATCGTTGCATGTTACGCCACGGGGAGTTTGGCCACAGAGTAATCAATACTTGTGGACGTTCAGGCTTTCACAGGCAGTAGCCTCATGAAGTAAGCAGTCAGTCCCTACTGAGAAGCTAGCGTTTCATTGCAAGTGCGCAAGCCGTTGAAACAGATATATTTGCGTGTACTATGTACTCCCGTAGCAAGAAACCTCATGAGGGACTCTGAAAGTTTGCAGTCACAATGACACCCTGTACTGTGTTTCTGGTATCGTTGCGTTTTATGCACTTGACACAAGAGATTCTGTCATGTGGAAATAGCAATATTTACAAGGGTAGCTCGAGTTTTGATATCCAGTTGGAAATATCCATCGGAGGCGACCCACCGGGGGAGCACTGCTAGAGTGCGATTGCGTCAGAGGGGCAGGACTTTGTGGCATTTGGCAAAGTACCCAACTGTGAAACTTAATCTCACGAAGGCTGGTGGATCGCCGAATAAACTCCTGAAATAAAACCCATTTATTGGCAGAAGAAAGATAAGGTCAAAAGGTACATGATGTGAACTGTTCAACTTGGGTGATTGTGATTAATATTATTTGAATGGAAAGGCTGAGAAGAAAAATACTTTTATATAAGCACACAACTTTATCTGTGATGAACGCTGCACTTTCCGTCGTTTTCATGCAGGGGGCGCTGCAAACCTACGTGCCCCCTGCATGAACGACGGAGGCGCAAGGACAGACGTTTGATTACGTTGGAATTGATCAGCAGACGGCGGTCTTCTCGCACGGCCAGCTCTGTCGCCTTATCTCGATCCCGCAATCCCAAACAGGTGAAAGTCTGCATTGAACCGAACCCCCAGCAAGGTCATATCTACTTAACGACGAGAGAAAATTTACACGAAATGTCGTTTTCAATTAAGCCTTCCAGATGTAAAATGATCTCAGCTTTTAATGAAAAAGTAAAATTATGTATTTCAAAAGATAATACATTTAAAAGATGTTTCATTTTAAAACTTCAAAACGGATTATTGGGTGCTTGCGTGAATGTGTCGTTCATGTGCAATTTCTTTTGTGACTTTCCTGCCGAAGGCCGTAAATGGTTGTGAGGAGCACCACAGGCGCCCCCGAACCCCTAGTGATAAAATAACAAAATGTTACAGCCATATGTCCCTTCTCTGCTGGATGAAGACTCCTCAAGCCGTTTGAGTCATGGGAGTTGATTGACTATACTTTGCCACGCTGGTCAATGCGGGTTGGTGAAGAGAAGTGTAGGCAGGACAAATGAGACTTTATTAATAGCCATGCTTGATGAAGGGTTCCATCTCCGCAAGTGGTCATCCTCATCGCCTTTTCTCTTTTGGCGGGAATCCCTGTCATCATTTTCCTACGATCACATTTTAAACTGTTAATGATAGAGAAGTGTATAATGGGCAGTTGAGAGGCAAAGCAACCCTTGTGACAGCTGGACTTAGTAACGGTTGTTGTACTCTTGAGAACACATTATAAATCTCTATAAAATATAAATAACTATCAAATGCCATTGTGGCTGGCTTTTGTAAAATGTGAACAGGCATTTCATTTGATGGAAACTGATGCAGTTATCTAAGCTCTCATAATCAAAGGTCTAAATAAAATACAGTAATGTAGAAATTAGCAAACCAATTAATCTTTTGTTAATCATAATTCATCATGGCCACTAACACGATTCATCCTTAGCTCGTGAATCTCCTCAGCTGTTGCCAGTCACCTCTGTCACATGCTGCCTTTGTGTCCCTGGCACCACTCCGTGTGCCCCGCTAAACTGATCACTGGTGTGACTGTGCTAAATAAAGAAGCTCTTTATCCTGGCTTGAGGGTTTCTGCAAACCTGCTGATTACCGTTCCCAGTTTGTAAGTCAGGGGTCAGCTGTTCCACGCACAGAGTCGACGCTAATGGTTATGCCCCCACCATGCCCCACGCTGGCAGACGTATAAATTGTCCCACGTGGCATTCTCAACCCCAAAGGAAGACATAATGGGGGAAAAGCACAGAACTTTTAAACAAGAGCGTGGGTTGTAAATGCATTTAATCAACGAGACTTTTGAAATTTATATCACGTTTAGCAAAAACATTTTTCTCAGGAGTGATAAGTTTTTTGTGTAAGAATGCCCGGGCGAGCCAGCTGGCCTGGGGCACTGGAAATGGGAGAGGGGAAAGGAGAGTAATTTAATACAGACGGTCGGCTTTCGAAGGCTCGTAGATGAACTGAAATCTAGGTCACGGCACACAAGAGGTTGCTCGGCTCGTCATGTATGGCCACATAACACAGACGTGCCTCGCGTCTTTATTTAGGATTTTGGGAAGCCCTGGACCAGCGTAGGTATGAAGTCCCGCGCGTGCTCTCATACCAGCGCAAGGATAACCGTGTGACTGAATCCGAGAATATTATTTTATAACTGACATTGGGCGAGATAAAAAAAAAAGATTACCTTTGTACAGATAACATTGAAGTTGAATTTGTTCATTGCTCACTTGTGTCTGTAGGGTTTGACACTGCACTGAGGTGTCATCATCATGATCATTACCAATCATCATAACCCTTGAATATGTAAATAAATAATTAGGTGAATGTTTTAAAATCTTTTCCAAAAAAAGATGCGCATGATTTTCTTATTTAACACTGATTGTAGATCATTTAACTTAACTTTAAATCTTCTTGGTTCTTTCGGTAAAGTCACGTAGAATGGACAGACCTGGTCTTCACCTGAGGACGGCTGCTTGCGTTGTGGCCGAAACGTCGTGAGAATTGTATGTTTTATTTTTATTATTTTATTATTTCCATTCTACGTGACTTCACCAAAAGAACCAAGAAGATGAATCCCTGCAGTCACGAAAGCTTTAAATAGAAATTTTACTTTAAATCTTAATAGTTGTAACTGTGTATGTTAGATGAACACAACCAAGGACATAGCAGTACAGATCTCAAGCAGAGAAGCCTCAACAGTGTTTTGAGGGCATCTGGGCCCTTTTAAGGCAATTAAATCAATACCGAACATGGGACAATAGACACAGCCTCAATGCCGTATCCCGTGACCGAACAACTCGGCGCGTCCTATTTTTATCTCGAGCAATCGGTTGACATTGAATAACATGCGGCAGTTGTTGCAACATTTCATGCAGTGGAACAACATGGGTTCGTGTACTGATTTACACCTTCCTCTAGCAATGTACCATGAATAGCGTGCAGACCACTTGGGGCTCCGTTCTCTTTTCGTGCTTAGAATTCCCTGCGCCCCTCCCCACAGTGAATCGAACTATGCTTTTTGGTAGGATATTTATAAGCAAATATTTGTAAACCGTGGTGTATTTTGTTACAAGCGTTTCGGTAACCGATAGCTTACTGATATCAAAAGAACACTCTTGTGATTTACACACAATGTTTTTTTGGCACTCGTTTCAAGAGTTGAACAATACTGTTAGCACATTTGAACTTCCATATAGCACGATTTATTATGATCGTTGACTTGTTTACCCAGGAAGGCCTCGCTCAGTCTCAAGACTCTTTCTAAAGACGGCCTGGCCACGTTTTTTCACAGCATAGTGAAATGAATGCTGTGTGTAATCCAAATGGATTGGTTTGCAGGAAATCTTTTAGCATTGTGATATTTGGCCAATGCAAGTTACATTGTTTTATTTTTAGCAATGAGAGGAAACCGGAGTAGCCGGAGGAAAAGCCTTGCAGATCGGGGGAGAACAGACTCAACGCAGAAAATGCGCCTGAGTCGGACATGGAACCCAGGACTATCTTACTGTGGCACGAGTTACCACTGTGCCACCCTGCCACCCGTGATAATCTGTCCACACACACACAATTCTACAAAATTCTGATGTTGTACTACTTTTAAACAGTCCAACTTGTTAATTGGCGTGAACTGCTGTAAAGCGTGGTGATTCGGATGACAGTTGGGTTGCCGAGGATCGTCGCTTGCGATATCAGCTGCAGCATTTTCCTTGCACGGTTGTGGTTACGACTGTGGTCACTGCAACAACGGTGGCCTCGTCGACGATGATGATAATGAGCGTCTCTTGCTGCTGTGTCTTGCAGCTCAGCCAGCAGGAACTCCAGAGATCTTGAAAAAGAGCCTGCACAGTTGCTCGCCACAAGGGGGTGAGGAGCTCTTTATCATCGGCAAGAACTTTCTCAAAGGTGTGAAGGTCATCTTCCAGGAGAACGCAGCAGGTGCGTGCCGGGGCAGAGCTCCCCATGGGGTTGGGGGGGTGGGATGGACGTCGGAGGGTATAACGGGGTTGTGGTGGTGGGAGATACGAGGTGAAATGACTGATGAAAGGCGAGTGGGGTAGGGAGAGATAAGTGGCCAATTGTAGGGCTTGGGGGGGGGGGGGCATTTTGAGTGAGTGCAGTGACCTCCGTGACCTCCAACGTAACGTCTAAGGCATGTGATGTTTTTCTATTACACATCAGAAGTCGCTGTAGAGCCATCGTGTTATTTTGAGTAAAACAGTCAATGTATGTTCAGCTTGATAGCAGTCTGTATTGTCTTGCTGTTGACCCATGGCTCTATTAAATTTGTAATGTCACCAATACGACGCACTGTCTGCTGGCATTCCCTGAAGAGTTTGACACAAACCATGTTTGTTCTGTTCTCTCGATGCAGAAGGACAAGTTGTGTGGGAGGCAGAAGCAGAGATTGATATGGAGTTTTATCACCAGGTATTCACATTTCCATTATTCTTGCATTCGGAGCATGCAGTGATGTGCCATCTTGAGACGCGGCTGCATTTAAAGGCATTGTACATAAAAATTATATTGTGTTGCATAACTTCAGGAGCAATGCTGCTGCTATCAAACAACATGTTAGCATTTGACAAATCATCAGCACTAAAAACAAATAAAATACAATGCTTCTAAAAGTGAAAATTAATGCACATTGCCTTGATAGACATTTGGAATATAGCGCAGACCTTTAAATTGATATCAATTGTGCTGATTATGCTTTTATTACCGACATAAATACTGCACTTTTGGAAGATTGTCTGCAGCATGGATTTTTTTAGGTTTACTGTTTGTCGATGCGCAGTAAAGACTCCCGTGCGTCAGCTGTGGCAATGGATGCTTTTCATGGCTTGGATGTTGTAATTTATATAAAGATTGTCTCGTCTTGCCACAGGGTGAGTTTTCGCCTTGCGAAGTGTTCCACTCGGGTAACTTAATAAAAGTCCTTGTGTTCCTGCCATGTTGGTATCAAGCGTTAAATAAACAAATCTGCTTTGGTCTGTTTCCATGCTGTTTGTTAAATGTAAACGCAGCATCCTGTAAAACCGTTGCACTGTAAGATTTCCAGTTGCAGATTTCTGTGTGGTGGGGAGCAGTGGCACAGTGGTTTCCCACACTACTACAAATACACCAACCAGAGTGAAATTCCCAGCCATGGCTAAACATCACTGGCAAGTGGAATCTGAACCTGTCTTTGGCCTCCAGTAGATTAACTCAGCATTAAATGAGTGCTTGGCAAGCTGTGCAAATATCTGCAGTAGGGAGACCAAGGCCATACCATACCATTATCTCTTGTACCATGCCGGCCTTTATAAGTGCTCGCTAACAGCAAATATGTAAAGAGGGGGGGGCAGTTTCTTCAGACTTCAGATTCGAGGGGGAGCCTCATCTCACATTTTGCCCCGCTCCTCCAAACATCTCTTGGCGACCCCAACTATTGCAGCACTTGCGCTGTAGAGCGAGAGATCTTTGTCTTTCGTTGTTTTCCTTATTGTTCCCTTCGTGACGCGTATCTGTGCGTGTGTGTGTGATGTGCAGAACCACCTTATAGTGAAAGTACCGCCGTACTGCGACCCCGACATCGCCAGTCCTGTGTCTGTGGGGATTTTTGTGAACAGCAGCGCAGGGCGGTCGCATGAGGTGCAGCCGTTCACGTACACACCCGACACAGGTAAGGGAAGAGGGTCAGCTAGTGCTGGATTTCCGTAGAGTGGTCACATGACGGGCTCGCTATTTGTGTATAATAGTACCAAGGAGATGGAGCGATGAAATCGACTTGTGTGCAGGTGCTTAGGTGGCTTATTACATCACAGGATCGTGCAAGGTGGTGGCGGTGACTTGGGGATGCCTTCATCCAGCAGTGGATTGACCATGGCTGATGAGTGGGCTCACCAAGTTAAAGGTTTTGGAGGGGCCAGCTTTTCGGAGAGACGGTGAAAAAAAATAATTACACGTAAATTAAGTTTTCATGATTTAATATCATGTGGATAGGAGCGCTTGTATGTTCATGTTTTTAGATTTAATGTACATGCATTATTGGGATATCTCCAAAATGCTCATCCCTTTACACCACGTGTGCCTGTGGAGTTAAATAAATATTTTAGTTTCATCAACATAGCACCGTTTTTATTAGACCCCCAGCTTTGCAATAAAAAATGCCTGCGGAGGCGTGAAGGTTGGTATGCAGTTGTAGGTTTGCCAAAAGAGGTTGTTGATTTCACGATAGCAATGATTAATGGTGCTCCACTGTTGTTTGTGTGGTGGGTTTAATGCAAGGTTTTTAATTACTTGTGCAATATTTTAAGAGTCGGTGGTTGATTGGATAATGCATGTGACTTTGAGTAGCCATAGCTAGATGTATATGTATGTAGAACTTATTTCGCATGGTACATAGCCAACCATGCTAATAGGAGGTGTGGAATACTGGATGTGGTGTGCTAGGTGAAGAAATAGTCTGGCTTGCTGATCTGGACAGACCAGGCTGAAATTAAGCACCGATTTCAGTGGGATGTTGCTGTTATGTAATAGTTAGCACACTGGATTTGAAATCCCAGAGGTCTCTGCTGGTTTAATTTTCCAGGACAGCAGTTGAAACATTGGGCAAGTTGCTTAAATCCTCACGCCTGTCCACCCAACAGTAATAAATGGTTACGCCACAGCTGTTGATGGCTACTTCCACCTCTTCCAAAACGTCTGGCAAGTGAGAGTAGTCCAGAATACCCTTCAGCGGCTCTGGAGAGCTCCCTATAGCAGAGGACCATCGGCCAACATTGGCGTGAGCAGGCACTTGCGGAGCTGCACCTTTACCTTTATACTGTGATGCGTATTTGAGCTATTGAACATCTTCACGGACTAAACTCTGGCACACTGTAACGTCTGTCTTGTGTGTGTGTGCGCAGTCACGGTGCCTGCAAAAACGAAAAGCATAAAAAGTGAAGAGTCGTCGCAGTGCGCCTTCGAAGATCCTTTACAAAGTAAGTCTTCTCTTCTCTCCGAGGTGGTTGCTCAAGCTGTAGTTATGAACACATGAGCTTTCAATTCATGGTTATTTTATATATAATACTCGCTTTACTACACGGCCTACACAGAGGGTTGGGGGGGGAAGTGACGTCAGCAGGCACACTGCGTAACGCTGATGCATGCGGGTGACATCACAGATGTGATGTCACAGATGTGACGTCACCGCTCACTTGCTGTGCAAAATATATACATTATTGCGCCCACTCCCCAAAATACAAAAGTATATTTTTATACTTTTTGCATTGTGTTCAGTCTGGAAGCTACCCACATGCCAAATTTCAAGTTTGTGGCATGTCGGGATGTATGCTAAACATTTTGAAGACACATTCACAAATTTCCCTTTTATATATGTAGATATAAAATCATCCCATATATAAAATCACATTCAGAGAGGGGAATGCTGCAACCAAGAGTTGTCCAGATGCCTTGTGGCCCTAATTTCATTCTGTAAAACTTAATCTTTTTGGATACCAATGGGTGTATAATGTAATGTAAGCAAGAAAATAATTACATGCAATAATTGTATTAATTATCATTGTAAATATTAGAAATGACCTTGTGAAGGATCCAGGAATTATGTATGTTAGGGGTCAATTCATTGGAGGGTCAGAAGACATGGACCACCCTGTACAGCAGTGTGTGCAGTGAATGCATTGCAATCAACACTTCATTCTTGCAATTGGGCAAAATGTTAATTTAAATGTGAGCCCAACAGGATTCACGGCATAACTGTCACAAAACACAAGACGGGAGTGACAAGAGGGCAAACAACATTGCACAGGATACAATCTTTTATTTTGCCAGCAGTTGTGTGAGCAAGTAACTCCAGCACAGCACCATTACCTAATTAGGTATTTGATATTCAGCCTATGGGTGTTCTGATTACTGTGCATCTTGGCACAAGTGTGATCAATGTAATTGTTTTCATAAATATTGAGGATAAGTGCATGCTAAAAAAAAAAATTCATTGCCACTATGTCTTGGGTCTGCTATAAAGCCACTTGTCTTGATGGCATTTGGGCTGGTTACGAATAATCTCCTTCAAAGCATCACTGATGATGCCCACCCCCACACTTCCCACTGTGACCTTCCACACTGCATCGCCGCACCATTGCATCTCCTCCCGTACAGCGCCCGTGACGTGCCAGTGCGTCACGTTGGCCCTCAAGCCGGGCAGCTGCGACGCGCCGGGTGGGCTGCTCCTGTCCAAGCTGGATGACGTTGCCCTGATGGAGGTGTCCAACAGCAGCCCCCTGCCCCAACAGGTGTGAGAATCGATCTGTTAAAGTGGGCCCCTGCGATTTGTCAGAAACAGAAAACACCAAAAGAATGGTCAGGGACTACTCCGTGTTGCAGTGAAGGAGAGGGGAGGGGAAATTAAGTTTTAAGATGGAGTTCACTGGCTAACCAAACGCTAGTCTTGCCGTTAACCGTTTTAAATTAGCCCAGGGGTTGGCAACCTCCAGAGCTGCATGTGGCTCTTTAAGGACTGCTTTGTAACGTTTTTTGAAGGATCTGGTATTTGCATGCATTGCTGCTCTTGGAATAGTTTTTTTTACCAAATAAAATTGATTTTGGTTGCTGATCCCTCAACTAGCCACTTGTACTCAGCCCTCCCCCCACTGTCCTTCATCCTAACCTCTGCAACTTCACCAGGGCCCCCATTTTTATTTCTTTTTCGCTTCTCTGTTCTGGTGCCCGCAGCACCACCACGAGGCAGTCGGAAAGTGTCGAATTAATTGCCCAGCGGTGCCAAAGAGAATACCGTGTGTGTGCGCACGCATGTGGCAAACTCTGCTTAGAATGACAACTTGTTATGCTGGTGTAGCAACACGCAATGCAGGGGAGGCAGTCTCAGCCGGGTGTGGTGTTGGCTCCACCACCTTCTCACGTCGCATGCCAGCAATAATAGGTGCTTACCAGCAGATTTGTGCCAGTGGTCTACCCTCTGAAGGAGATCTTTGTTGTTGCCTGTGTGCATTTATATGTGCGTATGTATGCGTGTGTAGCGCAAATGACTGCATACTGTGGAAGTGTGTGTTGTGAAGGGGGGGGTCTGTTGTCTCTGCATTTTTATGTGTATGCATATTGTATTCTAGACTTCACTGTACGTGTGTATGTGTTGTCATGTTCCGATTTTGTTTTACAGCCCGGCGGGGAAATTAGTGTTACGTGCAAGATGTCTCCAAAACAGGAGGATATGAAACAGCCGTGCTTCTGTTTGTCACCGACGCAACTTGGATCCCCTGTACAGCTTTCTGCCATGAGCCAGTTCAAACCTGAGCCGAGCGACATAGCAGTTGCTCATCTTTCTGCCCACGGAGGTCTCTCACCACAGCAGCAGCAACAGCAACAGCAGCAACAACAACCGCAGAGCCAGCCAGTTCAGGCTCCAAATTTTACCCCCCAAACCTTAATTGTGCAAGTGCAGAGCCAGGACGGCAGTCTACAACAACAACAACAACAGGGCCTCTTGCAAGTTGCGGCTGCACTGCAAAACCCATCGATGGAGCAAGTGGTTTATCAGACGGCAGGAGAACCCATGGCACAGCAACCATCTGTGGCTCCTCGTGTTGAGGCGCAAGCGGAGAACGATTCCGCAGGCAGCCAAGTGCCCGTGAGCATCATGGATGGAATCTTGTCTGCTGGCGAGCCCATGGTGCCCATTACCACGCAGTTGCACTTGATGCAGCAGGGCTCTCAGCCTCCTTCTCAACAGCCTCCTCCTCAGCAGCAGCAGTCGCCCCAACAGATGTTTCAGATTGCACCGCAGACCAACGCTCAGGTGGAAGAGGGGATGGCCGTGAGCCACCCACGTCCCGAGCAGCACGTGCCACAGCAGCAGCTGTGCGAGGTGACGGCGGCACCGCCGCTGATGCAGTCCTCGGGGTCGAACGCGAACCCCCCGTCGTCGCCGCTGCTGCGCTGCGAGGGCGTGAGTCTGCACAGGCAGCCGAGCAGCATGTGCTCAGAGGACCTGGACACGGTGAACATGGTGATTGAGATGCAGCAGGCGCTGGAGGAGAGGTCGCATGGCGGCGGCGCTGTCTTCCAACCCCAGGAGGCCATGGATATACAGCAAGCGGCCCACAAGAGGCCCCACGTCGACATGAAACCCGAGCTGTTTCACCAGGATCAAAATCCAGCCAAGTCCTCGCATTTCATGACGCACAACGAAATGATGCAGTACACAACACAGAGTGTTCCACAGGGTCCAATTCAGACTGGCGTCTATCAGCAGACTCCGGCCGAAGTGGTGGAGCAGGTTATTGCTGATGCCAATAGGCAGATCCAGGCTGAAATGATCCAAATAATTGCGTCGGGCCAGAGCAGCAGCCAACTCTCCGATTCCAACACTTTTAACCTCATGGAGATGCGGTCGGACGCTACCTCGGAGCCGCACGGCTTTCAGTCGAACGCTCCCATGCTGCAGCAGTGCACAGGGAGTGGTATTTCCAATATGTTTCAGTCCAACTTGGACATGATGCAGGTGCATGAGCAGTGCCAGCCAGTCGACATGGTTCAAGGTGCCGTGTGCGACTTGAACAAACATTCCAATGAGAGTCCTCAGCAGACGAATCTCTTTCAAGTCACTCAGGCGTCCAGCAGTTCCAGCCAGGCAGATTTCTTTCAGGCCGCCGTGAACATTGTTTCTTCTCAGCCGAGCAGTGGGACCCAAATGAGCAGCATGTACCACACCAATGAAATGCTTTCTCAGATAAACAAGGAGCTTGAGATCTTGAATTCATCCCAGGCTGACGGAGGTATAACGCAACAAAACGGAAGCTTGGAGCAGGCGGTATTCCAAGGCAGTGTAGCGCCATGCGACAGCTCCCAGCAGTCAGATCTGTATCAGGTGGAGGGCTCCATGTCATCCATGAAGGTTGACTCAGGAATGCAGATATCTGCCCCAAATGAAAACCTAGGCCTCATTACTCCACAGCTGCCAAAAACGAATTCACAAACAAGCCTTTTCCAAACCACTGGAGACATATCTCAGCAGCCCAGCTTGTTTCAGCCCTCAGGAATTGTGCAACACAGCGGCAACACTCAACAGTTCAGCTTACTGGTGGTCGGAGACAGCATCTCGACTGAGGGAAAGAACGAAATTGAGATGTCAAGCCAACCGCAAGCCATTGGACAGCTCATATCCAGTCACCCCAATGGAAACACAGTACAACCCGGCCTCTTTCAGACCAATGGTGGTATTATGGCCATGCAGACCAACGTAATGTCTCAGCCACCTACGTTGTTATTTTCGGCAGGAAATATTCTACCTTCCCAGCCGAACATCAACATTCACATGTCCAACGCACCACCGCAGACCATAATAGAAATGCTGCCGGCGCAGCAGGGCAATGCTCAGACTCGACAGCCTGGCCTCTTTCAGGCGTCCGTGACGCCGGTCGCAGGTGGTAACCAACCGCCCGCCAGCCTGCCAGGCGATGGCATCATGTCTGTGACAGGGCTAGGCTCAGTCGTACCGATGGCCCCCGGAGAGATGTTGCCATCGCAAGCGCCAGAGAACCCTCCTCGGCAAGCCACGATGTTCTCCGGGTTCCAGGGAGAGCCAGGGGGGCTGGTGGCATCACAGGCGTCGGCCCAGGCGCCCAACGCGACGTCTCAGCAAAATCAGCAGGCGGTCACTCTGCAACAGCCGGACCTGTTTCTGTTTGTGGACATGGACACTGGTAAGTTACGGTGACTGAAAATATCTTGGAAACAGACCTCAGGGTTTTCATTTTGCTATAGCTATGGAATCTAGCAGAAGGAAGCAATGGCTTGATGTTTTGACAGTGGTCGTGATGACCTCTTGACCGTGCAACAGAATATTGCTCAAGGGAATAGATGAATAAAATGAAACAAACTTGAATGTTAAGTTTTGTTTCGTTGGTTCAGCGTTCACGTGAACACAGTACCTTTGCTGAGGTGCTGTGTGGCTCAAGATCGTTGAGCCGACACCGCCGAGATGCCGGATTCAACTCCCAGTAGCCACCTGTGAATGAACCAGGTTCTCAAGTCTAGTAAGTTGATGCGTCTTAGCTTGATAACCAATAATGGCACAAAACATCACAATAAATGTTTGCACTTAATTTTTCTAAATTCCAGTAATTATCATGCACAAAACACTGCTGTCAATGGCAGAGCAGGTGGGAAGGTTCAGCAGAGGTCACTGGGAGGGATCCCAGATGTAGTTTCCATTTGAGCCCTTCTCTAACATTGAGGGTTGCACTGCTTTGAGTTCCAAATGGATACTTCATCTCATTCCATGATGCACCTAGCCTTGGGGGGGGGGGAAGGGAAAGAAATGTATACAGTACTCTTTTGCTTTTCAAAATGTGACCTCTTCTAACACCGGTCTGTCTTGCGCGTGTCGTCACTGCTCAGTTGGTCAGAGCCAGCCCTTGGGTGGTGGTGGGGAGCCCATGCAGCTTGGTTTGGGTGCGCTACCAGCCTCCCACCTCCTGCAGGCGTCCGGGTCTTTGGGTGGCGGTGGCGGCGGCGGCAGCAGCGCTGGGGGGGGCGACACCGTCGGAAGCGTAGCCGGTGCCGCCCCAGGCTCCTTGGCGCCTGCGAGTGGACACGTCGCGTCGGGTGGCAGCTTGCAGGCCGCTATCGCCGCCTGTGTCACAGATCCCATGGCCGGCCTCACCTTGGACCAGAACATGGAGCGCATCGAAGAGCTGCTCGTGTCGTTACAGGCACGGCGCGACGACCACCACCACCACCAGGATCACGATGTTAGGTGAGGGATCCAGCATAGCTGCTGCACACATTATTTCTTCACCCCAAACGTGGCTTTACCGCACCTTCGATTAGCATGGTTGGCTACGTATGGTGCAAAAGAAGTTCCAGTTCAACATACATTTACGCAGACCTGGATTCACACTTGGGTTGCCCGCCTCCTTCAGGTACAACATTAACCGGGATGCACGGGAAGGATATCTCACAATACCCAGAACAGGGGAGAACGACATTTACATGAGCGGTGGATTAATACGCAGCTGACAAATGTGTTTAGAGGACGAGGGTGGAAAGTCCAGGTGGCAAACCCCACTACGCACATCTGGCTCTGCGATGGGTTGGCTCCACACAAACCTCCTGCCTCCATCATAATTTTGTAAATTAGCTCTCGACTGCACTTTCCATCCATGGGAGGAGGCGTAGGTGATCGGGTCAGGCTTTTAATCTGCTTGAATGTGAACTGTAGACTTAACCCAGATTCGGGCCACAACCACATGGCCTAATTGCTAAGACAACTCAGCCGAGTGGCATTTTATACTTTATTTATAGGTAGTACATTCTTTCCCAGGTTTTGTTGGCTCTTGTATTAAAGGGTGCCTTGATTAAAATTGAACTGAATTGGTTTGCTGGAAGATAAGCGTTTATTGGGCTGGCTGGTTTTTATCCTGTCTGCTAAGAACGTTTCATTTTATTGGACTTTTGGCTGGTTGGCCTTGGTGAGCACGTGTCTGTATTTTTTAAGTGTATATATTTTTATATTCAAGAGCATTAGTAGGTATGGGTCAACTTCTTATAAAATCAAAGTTTGTGTTTTCTGTTACATCTGATTTATTGCCTGATGTTCAGGGCTTAATTTCAGCTTGCCAACCCTTTGTCTATCTACTGCTGGATGAAGGTCTCCCAGTTGTTTGACCATACTTGGTTGGCGAGCATAGAAGTTACACATCCAGGGCTTAATTTTTACAATAGCCCTGTCTGGGTTAGTGATCTAAAAAATAGTCTCGCTCCCAGGACACCACATCCAGTTGACCTCTCTCTACTAGCCAAGTGCCACCTACCAGTCGACCAGTGAACGCTTAAAACATTCAGTGAGAAATGATTTTAGCCTGTGCATAATAATGGTGGATCAGATTAGAAACTTCCAACATATGTATTTATGTGAAACAGTGGCTTTGTGACAGTGTAGCAGGATCGGAATGGCGAGGAAACTACACATACCAATCATGAATTGTTTTGGAACAATGTGCCTCTTGAGCGACTTGCTGGGTGTGTTGCGATTAACTCGTTTGTTTAATTTGTTGCAGTATGCAGGAATGAACATACGACCACCATTCCTAGTGAGTCTGATGGATTTCTGCCCAAGACAACAACAAAAAGCACTTCTGCGCGGCTTAACCATGGCTGTACAAGCTAAAAGTGGTAGTAAGGATTTTAGTGAATCTGGTCTCAGTTGTTGACGTTAGTCGTGTGTGTGTGTCAACGTGCTCTGGTGTATTGGAGTGGTAGCTGATTGTGTCTTACGTGGACAAAATAAGCTTTTAACACTGTGATTCAATGTTTGTACGTGGTCGTGATGTGTCCGCGTCTTAGTCGGCAGCTCTTTGTTACACGCTGAAATGGCCTTTCACAGACCGTGTAGGTGCGTCTAGTGGTCGCTTTGGCCCCTGTTGTCCTCCCCCCTCATTGGCTTTTTCGTTTGGTTTGTATTACATACGCTTCCCGCACTTTACACATTATTGCTGCTGTGATTTCAGGCCAACGGATGATGTCTGTGATGCTTAATTACATACAGTTGCCGAACTTTAGTGTGTGTGTGTGCGCGCGTGTGCAATGACATTTATTATGCCTGTCCCCTTGTGGGGGGGGTTGTTATTTTCTCTCTCATTACAATGTTGTTTATAGCATCAGCTGTGAATTTCACTTCCGAAGTAAACCTGTTGAGACCGCGGTTTTTTGCTGTTACCAGTCAGTATGCGTTTTTAACTTTAGAGTTTTTTTGGAGCCCCATTGAGGTATCCGTGACTGACTCGTGTGTCTGTCTGTGTCTACTCTACGAGCTTATCTGGTGGGCGGAGGGTTGTTTTGTGACGGGGAATGGTTTTCGGACGTCGAAGGTTTACCGTTTTCCGAGTCGGAGGCATCAAGGGACATCCTTCGTGTCGAGCGAGTTTCTTTTTAGGAAATTTTGTACACAGTAGTGTATTTAAATGTATTTTATATGAGGAAAAAGTGCCCCTTCGGTGCAAATGTTGTTCACTGTTGGGTTAATAGTAAAACAAGTCTCAGTATAAGCCTAAATATCTTTTTTTTTATATATAAATATATACAATATTGTACAATGCAGTTTAGTTGGCTTCCTTGTAGAACTTGTTTATTTTGTGCTGGCTTTTCTCAGCCCTGTATATTATTATATTATATATAAACATATTTACTGCTTTAGTTTGCTGTGCTGTTTTAAGCAGAGATGGGGTTTCCTCCTCGTATTGGGTTTTGTAGAAAGTGTTTTGAAAGCACAACATTATCAATAAATGACTTCTACAGTGGAACACTGCGTGATTTCTTTGCGCTGTCGGTCACAATGGCTTGACACACTTCACGGCAGGTGTGGATACCCCCACCGCAAGCTGTGTTTGCTCTACTCAAGTTTAAGGTAAACTGTAAGCTCTGGGATTACATTCTGGCCACGCCTCTGGGAATTCACGTAAATCGGTATTGGATTAAGATGGACCATGAGCATGGTAATGAAAACACCCGGTCCTGAACTCCAGCCCATGCCTGCCAGCGGATTCGGCTTTCCATGCCCGCCACACTTCACGTCATTTGCAGATTATGCGTCAGCTGCCACACTCGGTCATCATCATGACGAATTGCCGGGATAATTGGTGGACTTGAAGTACCACTTGTGGCAAGGTCACGAGCGCACTGGTGTCAGGTGGCATTGCTAACGTTTTCTTAGGCACCGTTTGTGTAACATGGGTCGACATCTGAGACTTAGTGACGGTAACCGTAGTTATAACATGGTTTTGAGTGTTCTCCCTTGCGTCATGTTGTAATCGTGTTACGTACACTCGACCAAGTGTTGCACTGCAGTACCTTCCGTGGCCACAAAGCAGCGACACCATCCCCCTTGCAAGCTGGGAAACGCCGCACCGCATTCCCGCTGCGCTGGTCTTCAATCTTTCCATACCTGTGACGAGACGAACACTCCATTAGGAAATCTGGCAGAAGTGTGTGCAACGCGTTGTGGAAATTCACATCGCAGAGCTCCCGCTGAGCTTGGCTTCAAGCGACCTCTGCTCCACACACCCGCCCTGCCACGAACGGTAATAATGATGATAGCCACACCAATTTTATATTTTTTTCTTGGAATTTAATCGAATTATGAGCACAAATGTAATGTTACGGTTGTTTTGCACAATCGCCATTGACCGAGCCTAAACCATAAACTCGCGAAGCTTGATAAAGCCTGTTCATAAACCACAGCCTGTACTCGAACCCAGTCGAACTACCCAGCACCTCTGACATTTTCCACATTTAACAGTGGAACGTACCACTTGTGCTCATTAGGAAATGTTATATACCATGTCCCGCCGTGTCCCCAAGTGTTGATTATTTTCCAGGGGTGATCTTCCCTGTGCCACGAGAGAAGGGTGGGCGAAGGGGGGCAATTGACTCGAACCCAAACAGCAGCTTTTGTTTCAGCCTGTGGTCGCCGTGCTATTTGTCACGATGCAAATCTTCGATTTCACAGATAAGACTGCGATCGCGATATCGGTTTGCCAGAACGTAATTGTACCTTAGTTTTTAACAGGATCGCGTTTTGTGCTCCAATGCACTTAAATTACGGAGAACGATTTGCTATAAAGTTATTTAACGGCAGTTCACTTGCCGTAGCTCTAACACGAGCGCTGTAGCTTTTGCCCGTCCAAGGACGAGGTGTGTTTCAGTAAATCTGAAACTTTCAAGCGAAAAGCAGACTGCGGCGTGATATTCATTGCATCAATGCGTGCGCAATATGTAATGCCGCGGTGACAGACTTATTTCATTTAAAGGTTATAATCCCTCGCTCATCAAGACGTCCTTTTTACTTCGATGTCTCAACAGCGTTACGGAGATCACGTGACGTGAGGGTTCTGCCTTTGTAGCGAGGGTTGAGTTGACGCCGAGGGGGAGGAAGGCGCGTTGTCCCCCCCCCTCCCATGTGGAGTGACGTCACCTGAATATATATATTGTTAACTAGCGGAAGTACCCGGCTTTGCCCGAGTGAAAAATATATTTCTTAAAAACCTTACATATATATACACAGATACTAAGGTATTGTCAAAGCCCGGTGGGCTGTTTGTACATTTCTCCACCAACAAATATATAAGAGGCTTTCACAAGTCCAAAAAGTTGTAGAAAGTGTGGGGTAAATAGTTGATGTCAAAATGTTTCCGAAAATTGCGGTCTTCCCCCCCCCCCCTCAAAAAATATCTTTACCCCTCGTAGGTATATATACTAACAACACCTTACATACAACAGAGGAAGTGGTATCTATTGACTCTGTAGTAGTATCTACTGACTGTACAGTAGTATCAACTGAGCCAGTAGTAGCTACTGACTGTGTAGTAGTATTTAGTGACTGTAATAACTACTGACCATAGTAGTATTTACTGGGCCTACAGTAGTATCTACCGACTATATACTCGTAACGACTAACTGTATAGTATCTGCTGACTCTATAGTTGTATCCACTGACTATAGTAGTAACTACAAAATCTATAGCAGTATCTACTCACTCTATAATAGTATCTACTGACTCTAGTAGCTACTCACCGTGGTAGTATATACTGACTGTAGCAGTATTGACTGACTGTAGCGGTATATACTGACTGTTTTAGTATTTACTATAGCGGTATCTACCAACTCGATAGCAGTATCTACTATCACTGCAGCAATGTATACCGACTGAGGTCGTACCTGCTATCACTACAGCAGTGCATACTGCTGTGTTGGTACCTGTTATGATGACATCAGTGCATATTGTGGTGGAACCTGCTATGATTACAGCAGTGCATACTGCTGTGGTGGTATCTGCTATGATGAGAGGAGTACATAGTGGTGGTGGTACCTGGTATGATAACAGCAGTGCATATTGACTGTACTCATCATTCACCCTCACCATTCACCACTCACAACTCACCCTTACCACTCATCCTCACCACTCCCACTCACTATTCACCATTCACCCTCACAACTCACCACTCACCAACCTCCCTCACCAATCTCCCTCACCACTCACCCTCACCAATCACCACTCACCCTCACCACTCACTCTCACCACTAACCCTCACCACTAACCCTCACCACTCTCACTCACCACTCACTCTCACCATTCACCCTCACCATTCAGCCTCACCACTCACCCTCACCACTCACCCTCACCACTCACCCTCACCACTCACCATCACAACCACCACTCACCCTCACTACTCACCATTCATCCTCACCAATCACCACTGACCAATCACCACTCACCACTCTCCACTAACCCTCACCACTCAACCTCACCACTCACCCTCAAAACTAACCACTCTCTCACCACTCACCCTCACCACTAACCCTCACCACTCACCCTCACCACTCACCCTCACCAATCACCCCTCACCGCTCACCACTCACCCATCACCACTCACAACCGCCCCTCACCCTCACCACTCATCCTCACCACTCACCCTCACAACAACCACTCACCCTCACCACTCACCCTGACCACTCACCACTCATCCTCACCAATCACCACTCACCCGCACTGCTCACCCTCACCACTCACCCTCACCACTCACCCCTCACTAATCACCACTCATAACCGCCACTCACCCTCACCACTCACCACTCACCCTCAACACTCACCCTCACCACTCACCGTCACCACTCACCCTCACTACTCACCACTCATCCTCACCAATCACACCCTCAACAATCACCACTCACCCTCACAACTCACCCTCACCACTCACTCTCACCACTCACCACTCACCCTCACAACAACCACTCACCCTCACCGCTCAGCACTCACCCTCACTACTCACCCTCACCACTCACCACTAATCCTCACCAATCACACCCTCACCAATCACCACCCACCCTCACCACTTGCCACTCACCCTCACCACTCACCCTCACCACTCTCCCTCACCACTCTCCCTCACCACTCACCAGTCACGCTCACCACTCACCCTCACTACTCACCACTCACCCTCAACACTCACCCTCACCTCTCACCACTCACCCTCACCACTCAACCTCACCACTCACCCTGACCACTCACCACTCATCCTCACCAATCACACCCTCAACAATCACCACTCACCCTCACCACTCACGCTCACTCACCCTCACCACTCATGTTCACCACTAACCCTCACCACTCACCCTCACCACTCACTAAGCACCACTAACAACCGCCACTCACCCTCCCCCACTCACCCTCACCACTCACCCTCACCAATCACCACTCTCCCTCACCACTCTCCCTCACCACTCTCCCTCACCAGTCACGCTCACCAGTCACGCTCACCACTCACGCTCACCACTCACCCTCACTACTCACCTTAACCACTCACCCTCAACACTCACCCTCACCGCTCACCAATCACCCTGACCACTCACCACTCATCCTCACCAATCACACCCTCACCAATCACCACTCACCCTCACTGCTCACCCTCACTGCTCACCCTCACCACTCACCCTAACCACTCACGCTCACCCTCACCACTCACCCCTCACTAATCACCACTCACAACCGCCACTCACCCTCACCACTCACCCTCACCACTCACCCTCACTACTCACCACTCATCCTCACCAATCACACCCTCAACAATCACCACTCATCCTCACCACTCACGCTCAACACTCACCCTCACCACTCACCCCTCACTAATCACCACTAACAACCACCACTCACCCTCCCCACTCACCCTCACCACTCAACCACAGCCTCACCACTCAACCTCACCACTCAACCTCACCCTCACCACTCAACCTCACCCTCACCACTCACCCACACCACCACCACTCTCCCCCTCACCACTCTCCCCCTCACCACTCTCCCCCTCACCACTCTCCCCCTCACCACTCTCCCCCTCACCACTCTCCCCCTCACCACTCTCCCCCTCACCACTCTCTCCCTCACCACATGTTAAGGGCGCTCCTAAAGGAATCTACAACCTTCGATGATTCCTTTGCGCGATTCAAAGAATCGATTCCTGGCGCATAGGAGGTTTCCATTTTTAATTACAGAGTTTTATTTTCATTCGTATGTTATGTTTTAAAGTTTTCAGGAGTTTTTAATTATATTTTAGCCCCGGTCAACGCCGGATATTTCCCATTCGCAGCAGTTTATATCAACTCTATAACCAACTTATATTAAACGGAAATAAGGCGATTCTAAGTGAATCTACAACCTTCGATTCTTTTTCGCGATTCAGAGAATCGATTCTCGGCGCGGTCAGGTTTAGAGTTTTAATTACACAGTTGTATTTTCATTGGGATGTTATGT